CTTTATTTAAATGTCATAAGAGACCAGGAAGGCTTCCTGTCCAGAAAGTGATGGACAATGTGTGGCATCAAATTGATTTTTCTGACCAACCAAGAAACCTACCAGCTATCATCATAGAGCTAGTGCCATCAATTATATGAAGAAAAATTAATTATATGAAGAAAATATATCTTTTAATCTTTGAGAATTCCATACACATATATGCTGAAATATGATCATATCTATTTCCTGTTTCCTCCTCCAAGTCTCCACATAGCCCTCTAATACATTTTTCCTCCCAATTTAACATTCTATCGCTCATCCACTTAGCCCAGTTAGTGCTGTCCACATGCACACAGAGATGGGGCCTTCCACTGAAGAATAGGAAACCTACCAATGGCCACACCCACAAGGAAGAATTATTCTCTATTCCCAGCTTCTATCAACTGCAACAAGCTGCTACATAAGGGGAGAGACCTAGAGAGCACCTCCCCCATCAATGCCAGTCTTTTGTCTGGCTTAATCCAGTACAGATAACCAAAGATTCCATGAGTTCTTGGGTGCAACGATCATACTGTTTCTGGAGACAGCATTTCACAGCATTCTGCCTCATCTTTCAGGTCCTTTACTCTTTCTTTCTCCTCTTCTACAATGTCTCCTACACCTTGGGGTAGAAGCTTGGTTGTAACCAGAAGGTTTCCCCAGTCTCGCCCGGCCCTGACATCCCACCTGGCCCCACAGTCCTGCAGCTACTTATAAAATAATCACTCAGAGGCTTATATTAATTACAAACTGGATGGCCTATGGCCCAAGCTTCTTGCTAGCTAGATCTTATAACTTAACCCATTTCTGTTAATCTATAAGTTGCCATGTGGCCGTGGCATTACCGGTCTGTTGGCATCTTGCTGTTCCTTGGGTGGCGGCTGGCGTCTCTCCCTGCTCTCCTTTCTTCTCTCTGTATCTTTGCTTGGATTTCCCACCTGCCTCTAAGCTGCCTTGCCATAGGCCAAAACAGCTTTATTTATTAGCCAATGGGAGCAATACATATTCACAGCATATAGAAAGACATCCCACAGCACTTGGTGATGAACATATCCCATTTAGGGTTGTGTACTCACAGTTTGTTAGCAGACTCTGCACTGACTGCTGACAACTGAAAAAAAAAATTGAGAGAAGGTAGAGAGAAGCCCAGACCTATGAGTATAAATGTAAATATTTAGGAGGCAACTTGACAACATGACCATTTAGCAAAACAATAGCAGGTTCTACTCTAACACTAATGACCTCTCAGCCGTGAGTCTTTGACCAGATTAACAGTACCAGGCATGAAATTCCCTCTTGTGGAACAATCTTTAAATCCAATCAGAAAGCAATTAGTCACCCCATTACAGTCACATGTACCAGTAGGCACATGTCGCCTGGCTGGTAGGCAGTGCTGCATACTGAGTCCCCCTAGATATGTCTCTTCCCCACCAGCAGCCTGCATAGCACCTCACAGTACCACAAAAAGAGGAAGGAAGTTCCCCAATTGGTTTGAGAGTGATTTCTCTATGTCCTGCAGCCAAAATGTGTTGTGTTTTCAGCAATAGGATCTTGTCATGTGGTTATAGTAGGTAACCTGGGACAATGGAAATAGCCTGTTTTGTTAAAACCATGTTTTTCAAAACTAGGAAATCCTGTATATATGACTGATTTTTCCAAAATGCCAGTCCCTCAGTTTTCTACTTTTCAAGATCAAGAAGAGATTGTAAGTGATGAATAGGACCAGAGTCAGAATAAGAGGGACCCCAACCATGCAACTTTCTTACCCCATACTATCAGAAACACAATATATTACTAATATGCTTAAATATCACAGGAGATGTGAATGGGCGAGTGAAAATATAATGGGTAGAATTCTTTTCAGACATAGAACTTTATAAGTGAAAAGTTTCATATCAGAATAGTTGGGGAGATGGCTTTGCAAATAAAGTGCTTCTGTTAAGAGTATGAGGGCCCGAGTTCAAATCCCTCAAACACACATAAACATTAGCACAGGTCTGTAAGCTCTGTGATCCTAGGTTGAGAAGGAAGGCCGAGTCAGGAAAATCCCCTAGAAGCTCGTGGGCCTGCTATCCCACCCTATTCAACAAAGAGACCCTGTCTCAAACAATGTAGAAGGTGGGTACCAACACCTGAGTTTGTCCTCTGACTTCTACACATATAGTATGATATGCATGACCCTAATTTTCATGCACAGACATCATACATACATACACACACACACACACACACACACACACACACACACACACACACACCCATAAATAAAACTAGAAAGTTACAAGTTAAGGAACTGCTATTAATTACACTGAGATGCGGTGGGGAGACCACACAAGAGTGGATTGTCTGTAAACCCCATTTCGAGCAGAATGGGAGCCATGCTCAACATAGATTTGACTTCTGGGTGAGGCTGTTCAATGTCACGGTTGGGGTGATTCTCTGTTAGACATTCCTTGATTCGTCCCCACTCAGTAAATTACCACAATCTAAATAACTGTGGGAAATACTGAAGGAATATTCTCCTGGTTCAATTGATTGAAAAGGCTCGAAACATCCATAAAATCACAGCCAAGACATAGGGACCTCTCATTAAAACACAGATATTCTTAGTTCTTGTGTTTTGTTCTTTCTGTCAGAATCTCTGCCAAGAGAGTATATAGTTATTTTTTTCCTTAGAGCTCATCAAGGGAATATAGCCATCACTCTTGTAATGAGAGAATAGACATTAGAGCCTCTAAAATATCTTATTCCTAAATTCCCACACTAGCTTTATGATTCCTTGTTTGAAATACTTATCAATTAAGGTTGAAATATTGATTCACCTATTTTTAAAAAACATTCCCTTCTCCTTAATTTCAATAGATCCTGCTACAGACACGATGTTCCTTCTTTCTAAAGCAAGGTTACATCCTGGGTGCCACTATCTACCCTCAAAAAGAGTCTGAATTTTGTTAAATGAGGGAAGTGACATTATAGCTTTTAGTTGATTACTAAAGATCCTTGAAGTACACAAAAGCCTGCTGACAAGTCTTATACGACCTGTTCATGAAGCTGACTAGGGAATTTCAGAATAATAATTATGATGTGAATATAGAATGAATCTAGGATCTAATATTCAGCATGCATAATCTTAGAATTGCTAAACAAAAATTATATATGCTACTGTATATGCTCTGTGATACAAATCAGTAAAACATTTTTATCTTCTAACTGTTCCTGGAGAAAATGCCTTTCACTGTGAATCTGTGGATTTTTACTATCAGAGGCTTATCTCCTCCCTTTGGAGCTTATTCCCACTCCCTAGTTTGCAGCATTTTAATACCATGAAGGGCTTCACTCTAGAGAATCAGTGAAGCAAAGAGAAGCTTCATGGAGCCATACTGAGCGAATAAAAACACATCTAATTAATTAAGTCTCCTCTGGCTGCCCTCCTTCTATCAACTATGGAAAGTAAGAAAGATAAACCAAAGTTCAGACAGAAGCATACACATACAGGGAGTTTGTTTTTTTTTTTTTTTTTCTATTTTTACATGTGCTCAACCAAAACCTTTCTAAAGTTGCTGAAGCTTTCTGACATCACAAAGTCCTTTCTGTGAGTCATTAAATTGCTGAAGCCCAGAAAATCAAATTTAGTTTAGGTCTGTTTGATAATGTAATAACACAGTAAAATGTGATTCACCAATTAGCTCATGTAATTGAATAATCAAAAACATGCTCCAAATGAGTCATTGAGGCATAGTCCACCACCCTCATGGCTCTATATTTTTACCACTTACAACTGCAGGTTCTTCTTCTGTCAATGATATTCTCTCCACGTTTCCTATGAAAGAATCTACAAATATCTGTGGTTGTAGATCAGTAGCATACTTAAGCTTCATTACTTATCTGATTTCTCTTTTCTCCTTTGTCAGCTCCCTCTTGAATAACTTCTACATTGGGCAGAGGGGCTGACTATCTAGTCCTTGCCTCCATAGAGCTCTCAGTCTCTCATGTACTATATTTAAGTTCCATAAGGTTGGGAAACCAAACTGATGTTAGAATCTTTAAAAAAAATCACAATTTTGTAGTTGAAAAACTGTCTCCCTTGATAATTCCTAAATTCTAGTGGTGTTGCCAAGACATACTTTAGGGACTTGGGGGAAGCAATAGACAGTTTGAGAATTTTTTCTCAGAAATTTTAATTGGCCAAGAAGAAATCTGTGGTAGATAAAAATAGGAATTCAATGTTTGTTAGATCGTTTTACAGCATTTCCTCATAATTCTCTACGCACATCTGTTGAATCATAGATACCTGGCTATATTCAAATTTCTCTTTCTAAATTCAGATCAAGTCAAGGGTTGTTTAGATGGTTGAAACAATTTCTAATGAGGCATTTCAAAATGTGTCCTACTTTATTCATTTATTACTTCTGAAGTATTTGGGCATGCTTTCATGGTCCAAGGCTTCCCAATAGAAAAATAAAGAGTAATTGGAATATATTACCTGAACTTGAGTCAGTAAAGAAATGGAATTTCTTAGCTGACTCAGCCATTCTTAATGTAGTTTTGCCCCTCAAAAGAAAGAAGAAGAGAAGGAAAGGAAAAAGAGGAGTGGGGGGGGGGGCGGAACACATATAGTTGCACTTCCATTTTCAAGGTCATGTTTTAAATTTTATCCATGAGATCTAAACAGATATTAGCAAGCTATTCCCTTTGTAATTATATCATCACTCTTAGATTATTGGTTGTTTATAAACTCATAATGCATATTTTGTACTGTCCCTTCACATAAAAAGCAAATAACAACATTCTGAGGGATGGAATCATCATTAATTATTTTTCTTGTGTCTCATTTCATTGGGGGGAAAAATATAATCAAAAGCACCACATGAAGGAAATATTCTCAATGACTGGTAGAGTTCCCCCAGCAGTTTTCAAATGTGCCATCTTATCCTCACAATGTGTTAGTAATTCTCTCCCTTTTTTCTCCCTATTAATAGGTCAATGGAACAGAAATTGAATATGAATTTGAAGAAATTACATTGGAGAGGGTAAGAAAAAAATAAAATCTTTAAGTTTGCTTTCTACCTTCCAGGTCCTTCCTAATTTGTTGTCTTGTGAAATTGCAAAATTGTATTTTCTTTAGCTCAAAGCTACCTACAAGATTTACCAGAGAATATTAGTGAAATGCTTGCAATAGAGAGCATTAAGATAGAATACCAAATAACCAGAATGTTCAGTTTATAAATTGTGTTGTCAGGGATTGGGGAAATGAATGGCAAAGGCAGAGATGGCCCAGGAGCTTGGGCAGTTCTTTATTCTGGGTATTTGTTTATTCTGGCTGCATGTTTCTAAGACTTATTATAAGATATTCTCAATTGTGTGATATTGATGTTGTAATCTGACCCACAGATGCCACACATTTTCTATTTAAGCAACAAAAAAAGTGATAAACTTAAAACCTATCCCTAAAGGCTGACACAGCAACCCTGTGGAGCTCTGAAAACATGCTAGAAGGACATTGGCAATGACTTCTGAAAAATAAATGAAACTGTGCCACACAGCCCTAATATATTTAGGGTTTTTACAAAACGACAATCAAAGACAATCTAGAAAAGGTAATGTCAGAAAGCATTAGCAGGATATTCATCATTCCAAAAGGCAATCGAATATAAAATTGCTTACTGACACTCATGAGGAAAGGAAGATAAGGAGCATGAACACTTCAGTATCTAATTGTAAGCATTTCAAAGGAGTATTGATATCCAGTGACAATGAGTAGTCCTGAAAATTAATTTGGAAATAGGGATAAAAAACCTGGAACAAAAGCATAGTTTTAGAGGCACAATTACATAGTAAAAGTTGGACAAATTTCACAAAACTGCTCATATTTATACTGTTTATAACAGTGAAGGCTCAAAAATGCGTTTACTACTTCATTATATGCCTATATAATATTAATCTTATTAAATTTAAGTACAATGAAATGTTAAATTATATTTCAATATTATTTTAGAATACTATGCAATTGCAAGAATACAAAGCATATCTCAATTATGTTAATCAAATCAAAAATATTTTTAAAGTAGTTTTAAAACAATCAAACATAGATTGAATTGAATTGAAGAAAACTGTTCACATTTCCAAAGGTTTTAGTAAAAGTGAAAAAGTTTTAGAATGTTCTTTTCTTTGAAAGAAGGAGAGGGAAAATTAAAAGGACTTTGGGACAGAGTGGAGGACCCCGTGGTCTGCTTGGGTCTTCTCACCACCTGAGACTCAAGGACTCTAGCGCAATTCATACTTTTGGCTGTGAGGGTTACTGACCGAATTTAGCAAGCAATTTCCTTTGTAATTAGAGAATTGCCCTCAGGTTACTTACTGTTTATAAACTCAAAATGCATATTTTGTGTGGTCCCCTCATACAAAAAGCAAATCCCAACACTCTGAGGGATAGAATCAGTGTTGATTATTTGTGTAGTGTCTCTTTTCATTTTGGCAAAAACATAATCAAAAGCACAAATGTAAAAGAAATGTTCAGAAATGGCAGGCGGGTGGTGGCAATCTGGTTTGTGAGGTAGAATGCGAAATGTAAATGGTGACCTTCCTAAACCCAGAACCTATGCAACTAAACCAGTCTCACTGTGTGCTTGATTCTTGCCCTCCGTGAGTAGTTCTTTTCCTATACAGATATTTCATATAAAAATAGCAATGAACCAGATTTAAGGCCTGAATGTATACGACTTTGATTAGGACTCTGTGCCTCTCTAAGACATCTTCTGGGCATCTCCAACAAGGCTATTAACTTCTGTTTGCAGTGAAGCTCTCCTCTTCCCTGCATCCCTGTGACCTAAGGTTTTACTTTACCAGCTGGATCAGTGTCAGGTGCACCTTGGGAACTAGCCTATTGATCCTATTTATATTTATTAGCAGCTCTTGAGAATAATAGCTCAAGAAGTCACCAAAATCCTTTAAATGGCTTCTAAAACATAGTGACATATAACTCTCATTTGAGAAGCTCACATCACTACATAGATGTGTCATTTATTCACTTAATATCTCTCTGTTAATTCCTGTACTTAAAATCTCTGAAAAACTGATGTTATTGAATACTAACCATGCTTTATAATATATTAAAATAAATACACCAAAGATATATATACATATATAATATACATATATGAATGCATATGTGAGACTTGAAAGAATATACATCAATCTGTTAAAGTGCTAGCATCTTACTAAGAATTTGTGGTGGATTTTATTTGTTTCTTTTTGCATATCTTCTAAACATCTTTCAAAATTTTATAATACAATATAATAAGTTATATAGTAATTTTTTATGAAATGAAAACACAATTTTTACCCTGTGAGATATCATTTAAGAATGAATTAATACTATAGACCTTTATTCGTTTACATTTCCTCTTTAATTTCTTCCTTTTCGCTTTCATGAGTCAACAAATTTCTCATTTTAGTCTAATTTTTATTGAGTGTGAATAGTCTTAAAGAAATTTACATAGGAAGCTAAGTGCATGCCAGATGGAGTCTTTAAAACATTCATTATGGACTTTGATAACATTTTAATAGCATTCTAAATAGAGAAAGTAATATTAGGGGAAATTAACTCAAATGAGAGAGAGAGAAAGAAGAAAAGCTACGCACATTTGTAAATCACTACCCTCCTCTCCAAGGCTGGCAAGGTCATTAGTGAGGTACAGTACAAGATAAAAGTGTGCAGCCCATCTAAACCCAGGGCTTATGCAACTAAGCAGGTCTTGCTGTGCTTGATTCTTCCCACTTCCCCTACTCATTATACACACATCTTTAAGAGAGCACTGTTTTTTTAGCTTGCCTCTGTAGCTCAGCAGATAACTAAAGGCTAATATCAAGTTGAGAGAGAGCATTCACTTGGAGTCCTATAACTGCAGGTTCTAGTCTGGATTCTCATATTTACTGACTTCTTAACCCTAAGCATGTTTCACCTTCTCCCTGTCTCCCTGTCCTTGGATTCCCTATCGTACACTGAATCTTGTCATTTCCATTAACTGTACACCTTCCAAACCCTCTGTGCCACACATTACCTTCTCCAGAGTTCCTCTCCCAAACTTCCACACTCTCCATTAGAACTTGAGTCACTGATTTCATGGTTTCCCCCTAGTTTTCTTCCTTTACGTCCTCCATTCCCTCCTTACATACTAAATCTGGCCTGGTCTAGCATTCTAATTTTCCATCTCATATATTCTTCACTTACTTTTCTCATTTATCTGATTTGTTTCGTGAATCAAAATCTCAGTTCTATTAACTAGTGGTTAAACCACCCTTTTTTTATTCATTCCACATAAGCACCTGAGCTGCTGACCTTGGCCAGAGAAACACTCACTCAGCTTGCTTTAAATTCTTAACCATTGACTCATGACTCTCATAACTCTCCTGATAATTCTTAAACATTTCACTAGAAAATTCCCTTTCTCTTTCTCTAAGACAACAGTTTTTGTGTCTTCTTCGAGCTCTTCAGATCTCTAAAGTCCTCTCTCTCACCCTCACTTTCAAGTGATAACTGCCCTCCATGTGTCCTTGAGAAAAAGTGAGAAAGGATTTCACTTCTACCTTACTTTTTCTGTGACCATGTGACAGTGATTTTTTTTTCCAGGAAAGTGAAATAATTTTTCTGTTTCCTTTCTGGGAAACTCTTACTCTAATCTGTGAACTGGATTTTATAGCCCTGATCCTTTAATGACTTGAATAGCTTTAACACTGATATTGCATAATATCTCTCATCAAACAGAAGATGTCACTTGAACAAATATGCCCCTACCATATTACCTATTGCTACGTTAGTCTATTTTGCTTCTAAGACAAATGTATAGTTTTATTTATTATACTTTTAATAAAGTATTTTTGTTTTCCTTTTATTTGCTGTTGTTTTCTTTTATTTGGAGATGAAGTTTTACTTGCTGGCCTAGAACTTGCTTTGTAGAGCAGGTTGACCTCAAAGTTGCAAAGAGTGACCTCCCAAGTGCCAGGAGCCCAGGAATGCATCACTAAGCATAATAGCTCTTACCCCGTTTTAACCTACTTCTGATTTCATCTCCACAAGTTAAAACTATGTCTGTCAAAGTTGTGATAGCTCCCATCTTGCCCAATCTGAGCATGAGTTCTCAGTCCTAACTGATTTGTCAGGAACATTTGGTATAACTGTCACTAGCTAATCAGAGATACCTTTTTTTTCTTCTAGAGCGAAATATTTTCTGTGCTCTCCTTCCTTTGCTGACTGCCCATTTTTTTGCTTTCTTGCTATTGTTCCTCTAAATGCTGGCTGATTCTAGATGCAGATGGGAATACCTTTTCTCTAGCTCTCTTTCCTAGAGTGTCATAACTCATCCAGATCCATGGCTTACACTCCTCTATGGCCTCATCTTCTGAATCTGAAGCTGTGACCTCCCTCAGCTCACTGTGTACAGCTAACTATACATCTCATGTATTTTCTTAAATACCAAGGGATCCTTTCCCCTGGGCTCCCTCCCTGGGGCCCCAAACTGCTTCTCATCTTATAGCCCTTATCTGAACTAAATAGTTCTGCATTCTTCCTTATTATCCAGCCAAAATTATCTTCAAAGTCTCATTTATTTCTTTTCTCGGGAGCCTTGAGCAGGACTGCATATACTTCCATAAAATATGTATTTCTAAATCAGCCTGTTTTTACTACCCTTTCTGTAGAACCTTCATTCAAAGTAAGCTCAGACATTGCTGACCACTCTAGTAGCCCGTCTCACTGTTCTCCAAATAACCAGGGTAATAGTTTTCAAAATGTAAACCAGGCTGCATGACTATTATTATAAAACCTACCAAGGGGTGGGAATTGCAATCATCATCATCATCACCATCATCTTTGTCATCATCATCCATAAGGCTTCACAAGATGTCCCTCCCATGCTTCTATCTTCACATATCTTGCTCTCTCTGCTTTGACAATCTTGAGATTCCTCAAAAAAATCCATGCTTTTCTCACTTCAAGGCCTTGCTAGTAGCTATTCTTTCTGCTTGTAGAAAT